AGCAACCACATGGTGGTTCACAACCGTCTGTAATGGGGATATGATGCCCTCTTCTGGTGTGTCTGAAGACAGCGACAGTGTATTCACATACATGAAATAAATATTAATAAATAAGGGGAATTCAGTTTGAATCCAGGCTCTGCTCAGTTCTGTCACCTATACATTGAGTAATGTGGAATTCTCTGGTCACTTTGTTGTGTTTTATCAGTAAGGGGTCTCATTCTTAGAGTGCTGTGCACCGCCTGCGCCTACCCACAGCACAGCATTTCTTTGAATACTAGTAATGACAGCACACTAACAAAGGGATTTGCTACAGTACCAGAGCCAGCTAGTGTGACTCATGGGCCTACTTGCCTTTTCTGTTGATTCATGTGTTAGACTGATACTGGAGGCCATGATTGTTTTGTGTTCTTTGTGTGTGCTACATATTTACCACAGGCCTAGAAATTGTATCACTGAAAATTCCTGGAGAACTGGGAGGAAGCCCCAGGTCTACTGGTGGGTTGGGGTGAACAGGTTGGTGGTGATTTGGTTGTTTGGTAGTTTGTCTGTCTTGCTGCCAGACCAGTCTTGATTTTCTTCTTTTTGTCTGTGTAGGAAGCACAGAAGAGCAAGAGACCGGTCTAGGTCCTCCTCCTCCTCTTCCCAGTCATCTCACTCCTACAAAGCAGAGGAGTACCCTGAGGAAGCAGAGGAGAGGGAGGAGAGCACCACAGGTTTTGACAAATCCAGATTGGGGACCAAAGACTTCGTGGGTCCAAATGAAAGAGGAGGCAGAGCTCGGGGAACCTTTGTAAGGGCCTCCTTCTAATTCTAATTAAATCTTAGTAGGATACCAGTTTTTCTGCCTCTGGTCTGAGGTACCCAGTTGTAGATTCTTTGGCTCCCTAAGCGTCTACATTCACTTGTTCCTCTGTTTCTAATCACTCCCAAAGCCTTTTATAGCTTCCCATCCCAGAATTTTCCCCAGTACTGTAGATCTTGCTTCAAGGGAGGCCTCTGGCTTTGTATACCCCATGGACTGTCTACTGGGGAGGAGGGACAGGAATGGGTAGAAACTAGTGACTAGAAGCCAGCTTTCTGTTCCCTGTCATGAAATGTTGTAAGAGAATGCAGGGCCCTTATGCTGCTCACGTGAACCTTTGTTCCTGTTGCTGCTTTTGTTTCTACAGCAGTTTCGAGCAAGAGGCAGAGGTTGGGGCAGAGGAAACTATTCTGGTAACAACAACAACAACAGCAACAATGATTTTCAAAAGAGAAGCCGAGAAGAAGAGTGGGATCCAGAATATACACCCAAGAGCAAGAAGTATTACCTGGTAGGTGTCTGGGACTAACCAGGAAGGGGCAGAGAGCCTCTTGCACACCGTTGCTCATTTGAAGGCCTTAATTGGTCTGTCTGACCATGTGCCTAAATTTGTTTTCAGGCTCAGCACTGTGGATATGTTAGTATAGGGCAGCCTCTTCTCTGGAGGGCTAAGTCTGTTTTGGCTCTTCTGGGTGTTTATGGATTCCAGAACAAGCAAGAAATATTACTGTGTCTTTCTTATCCTGTGGTCTCTGACCCCTCACTCGCCCACAGTCTCTGTCTGTTACTGGATTGATGAGAAAGGCAGTTCTAGACCTGATTGAGGAGAAAAAGATGTTACCATAATGAAATGTAACTGTGAGTTTTTCTCACCTAAGTTGTGGGTCATTCTCACGCTCCTCTGGACTGCTACCTACTCAGTAACTCTTGGCCTTGTGATTCAGCAGGCCTGTGGCCAAGCCCATGTGACTCTTGAGGGTTGTGCCCAGTTGCTTGGAGCCAATTTGAAGCGTCTAGAAGACATAGGTGTGAGGTTGTGAAAGGAAGGCCCTTTCCTGCTTCCGTTTGCCACTGAGGGAGCATTGCCTATCTGATCTGGTCGTTGTGGCACATTGAGGCCTTGGACAGAAGCAGTTTGCAGCTTGGCTGTCCTTCAAGAGTGAAGGACTGGCTTTTGAGTGTGGTACTCGTAATCATTAGATGAAGTGGTTAATACAGGTTTTCAAAATGCTTCACTTATTCACCTTTTTGTTATCTCTGCTGAGGAGACTGTCAGAACAGGGATTGTTTGAGGTGTAGGCTGCTTTTCCTCCTGTGACACATTGCCTCCTTAATACAGCTAAAGAGGTGCATTATAAGAGGGCATCCTGGGGTGGGAGGTTTGAAGGTGCTGGAGCCTCACATGTGTCTGCTGCCAGTTCTTCTTTATTTAATGGCCCAGTTCCATTGCATATATTAGTATAACTTTGAAAATTCTTTTGAGAAATGATATTCTAAGTAATAAATAGTATTTACATAATAATGATAGTAGTGGGGTAGATGGGTTAAATGAGATGATACCCCTTGGTCTTCTTCCTTTTTGAGGGTGTACTATCATTCTATCACTGTTGCAGTGTTCACACTATTGCTTGAGTTCCTTAGTTCCTTAGGTACTCCAATGATGTTCTTGTGGGAGCTTTGAGTGGGGGAATGGGAGAAGGGCAGGAAAGGAGGCTGAGATGTGGGCCTGTGGATGGGTACAGAGTAGAGTGCTAGCACTGATGCCAGTCTTTTTCCCTTGCAGCATGATGACCGGGAAGGCGAGGGCAGTGACAAATGGATGAGCCGAGGCCGTGGCCGAGGAGCCTTTCCCCGGGGCCGGGGCCGGTTCATGTTCCGGAAATCCAGTACCAGCCCCAAGTGGGCCCATGACAAGTTCAGTGGGGAGGAGGGAGAGATTGAAGATGATGAGAGTGGGACAGAGAACAGAGAAGAGAAGGACAGTCTACAGCCCTCAGCTGAGTAGGAGCCACTCTGGATGGAGCCCTTGCCCCCGGGAGAAAGGCACTGGGAGAGGCTGGTGGAGCTAAACAAGGAGCCTCATGAAGATCCTGAAAACCCCACCCCACAACCCACTAGCCACACAGAATCCCTCGACATCAGAGTGTGTCCCCGGTGCCGTCTCACTGGACAGGACAGGATGCTGCCATCGAGCCTAGATCAGGCTCATGAGTCCAGCAGACGACATACACTGGGCTCCTGCTGATGGTGTGTGGGGTGGGGCGGGGTAGGGTAGGGAGAAGGATGCTGATGCTTGCTTGGACTTGGTTTTGTCGTCCCACCCCCACTACACCCCCAATTAGAAACCAAGTTTTCTTCATTTCATTTCATTTGGAACTAAATGGGAATTTGGTTTTCAGTCTCTAACTGTCCTGAGTTTTAATTAAAAAATCCTTATATTTTTTCTTTTCTTTTTTTTTTTCTTTTTAAGGGATATGTAGTAATATTAGCATAAAGATTTTAATTTGGGCAACTTTGATTCTCACGAGAAAACAAAGCATGTGAATAAAAATTGAAGTGTTCACCTCAGTTTGGGACCAAACTGCTTGGATCTTTGTACAAACTGGTTTTGTATGTTAAGGAGGAGTTTACGGCCTTTCTGACCACCTCGTGTTCCCCTTTCTACACAGCCATGTATCACATGGAGTTGCTTCCAGCCTCCCCATGCACCCTGCTCTTGTCTGATTTCTCTTGGGCTGGGCTTCCCATTCTCCACCAGCAGCTCCAGTATCCCAAACTTTGTAGTCCTGCTGGTCTTCAGCAAAAGGAGTGGAAACTGGAGGGCAGTTTCTGGACGGTTTTCTAAGAAACTTCTGAATTCTATTATCTTTACAAATATAAGATGAGAAAATAATTTTTTCAATATTTTTTATTAATCTTTTTATAAAATGAAAAGAAACGCCTATGGTTAAAGACGGTGGTTATGGCTGGGTGGTCTGTGGGGTTGTGTGTTTTTGGGTTTTTCTTTTTCTCTTTTTTAACCTTATGTTTTGAGTTGAAACATTTTCAGATGTTGGGTCATCCTCATTAAAGGGTCCTTGTGCTTGCCTTCCGGGGCGGCGGTCCCCAGCAGGTGAACCACTGCATCCGTGCACCTGTCGGATGCCAACTGCACCCTCCTTCCTCAGCCTTCGCTCTTGGGTTGTGCATACTTCCCTTTACTTTGCTAATTTCAATAGTTAAGTTGGTTTTACTTGAATGATTCATGTTTAGGGGAGAAAAAAAAAACACCCTTAAATTTTTGTTTCAACTCCTCCTGCAAATAAAAACAATAAATGAAGTGGCAGACGTAAACGGACTGTGTGTGTTGCTTGTGTGAGTGACCCCAGGGTTAGTAGGTAGGTCCCATAGAAGTTCCCTATACCATAGTCTTCCTTTTCTGGGAAGAAGCACCTCTTGCTCTCGGTTGAGTCATTGCATTCTGCTTTGACACCTCCAAGAACCAAACTTTACCATGTCAGAAGCCAGGACTTTGGCTTCATTCGTGGTGGGTGGGGCAGGAGGCAAGACTACAGTCAGCTGGCCTTTGTATGTTCACCCACGAGGAAGATTACTTTCAGGTGAGCCTAGCCCAACAGGTAAACTGTGGGTGGACCCTAACCTTCAGACTCTTGCCAGCCCTTGTTAAAAGTTGGTTCTTCCTTCCTTTCCCTAAGGAGAATTTGCAATAGTTATCAGAAATCCAACTACGCCCCTAAGTGAGTCAAGTCTTCACCAGTGGGGTTTTGAAGTTTGGAATATACCCGCCATAGCTTTTCAGAGACAGGACGCAGTATCTCCCATCTGGGGCGCTTTCCTAGGAATGGCCCCACCCTGGTATGTACCTCTTCCACCTTCCCCTGCAGCTAAGAACTTGCAAGCCAGAAGAGGGTGGGCCAGGAAATGTATAAAAGACAAAGAGTCTGACCTAGGTTGGGAGACTTGGTTAAAGTGGTTGTGGTAGAGCTCTTGGGGCAGCTGTTACCCCAGTCCTGGGCTGAGACCCTGGACTCCTCCTTCAAGAACTGGGGCCCAACCTGCTGAGCCAGGCCGCCCACTCCTAGTACCTGGATCCTGACCTATGACTCGAGTCTCCGCCTCATCCACATCCAGTCCACTGCCTGGCGGCCTTGCTCGCCCTCCGAGCAGCACCCAATACCCAGCCTGACGACTGTCAGGCTGTGCAGGGCGCCCCCAGAAGTCATGGGTATGTGCGTGGGGTTTGGGGTGGGTTCTTCTGTACCCCACTTTCCGAAGGGCAGGTCCAGGGACGTCCCCCAAGCCTTACTTAGCCCGCTTCCGCCCGCAGAGGTCCTGGTCCTGGCCAGATACCGTGCGCAGACGGAGGACGAGCTGAGTCTGGCTCCGGGGGACGTGATCCAGCAGGTGTGCGCGGGGCCCGCTCGGGGCTGGCTGCTTGGGGAGCTGCGGGGTCGCCGTGGTCTCTTCCCCAAGCGCCTGGTGCAGGTGAGGCCTGGAGTGGGTAAGGCCGGGCGCGGGAGCAGGAGCGGCCCTGGCCTCAGCCTCGGGCTTTGTGCTGAGTGCCGCCCCCATGTGATTTTCCCAGGAGATTCCCGAGGCCCTGTGGGGCGTCACCGAGTCCAGACCACGCTTTCCGCGCCGTCGCGGTGAGTCGGGCGCTGGGCCGGCCGGTGGGGGCTCACTGCCCGCGTGGAGCGTGACGGCTGTGGGTGGGGCACCTGGACTATTTTGCAGCTCCCTGATTGGCTCGAAGTACAATGCTCCGCTCGAGGGCGGGGCCTGAAGCTACTAAAGGGAATTCTGGGGTCCAGCTCTTCCCCAGTGCTGCAGACGGGGCTCCCTGCTCGAGTTGCTTCCCTGCTTGTCTGGCCTAGGTCACCCTATCAACTCTCGGGACCCCCAAAGATGGTGCAAAGTGAACTTCAACTACAGCCCAGAGCAGGCAGACGAGCTGAAGCTTCAAACTGGGGAGATTTTGGAAGTGATAAAGGAGGTGAGGGGGTGCTAGGGGACTTGGGGAAGATGCTGGAGGAAGGGAGGCGACTGGGGAGGATGTGGTCCTTGGGTAGACCCAAGGATGGACACCTCAGTTACTCTTGGGCAGAACCAGATGCTCCCGCATCCTTCCCCCTCCCCAGATTGAGGACGGCTGGTGGCTGGGAAAGAAGAACGGGCAGTTGGGAGCCTTCCCATCCAACTTTGTGGAATTGCTGGACAGTGGGCCCCCAAGTGAGACCGTGACCCTGTGATCCCCTGGGACCAGACTCAGCAATCTTCAGTGATCTTCCCAGTGACCCTCCTGATCCCAGTGACCCCTTTGGCCCTCTCCCTTGACCTAGCTAAATTAGGACCTCCCTAACATCGATTCTTCCATTGCAGGCCTTGGAAATACAGACATGCCTTCAATCATCCCTAATTCACAGAGGCCGCCTAAGGTAAATTGGGTCATGGCGGACACAGCCAGTGAATTCTTTTTTTTTTTTTTTTTGGTTTTTCGAGACAAGGTTTCTCTGTATAGCCCTGGCTGTCCTGGAACTCACTCTGTAGACCAGGCTGGCCTCGAACTCAGAAATCCGCCTGCCTCTGCCTCCCAAGTGCTGGGATTAAAGGCGTGCGCCACCAACGCCCGGCTTTCAGTGAATTCTTTAAAATGGCTTGAGACTCATCTCATTCTTCCCTTTCTCTGCCCCAATAGCTGAGCAACTTGACCTATGACAGCCCTCCAGACTACCTGCGGACAGGTGAGCATCGTGCCAAAGAGGCCCTCCCACAGTACCAGGTCTCACTCACCCTGCCTTGTGGGAGGTGAACCAGCTTGGTTGTTGGAGGGAGTCACTGCTGCTGAGGGAAGGGCTACACAGTAGAATGACCTTCTTTTAGTCTCTTGCCCTGAGACCTGCAGGGTCCTATTTGACTACCAGCCCGAGGCCCCGGATGAGCTGGCGCTGCAGAAGGGGGACCTGGTGAAAGTTCTGAGAAAGGTAGGAGAGGGTTAGGGAGTACAGAAGAGTAAGAAGTGGGAGCCAGGCAAGAAGAACTCGAGTGATGCTCACCTCCTGACTGGCTTGTTTCCCAACCAGACAACCGAGGATAAGGGCTGGTGGGAAGGAGAATGCCAAGGCAGAAGAGGAGTTTTTCCAGACAATTTTGTCATCCCACCGCCCCCAGTGAGTATGGAGCCAAGTGTGGGGAGGAGAGAAGAAAGGCTATTTTTAAAAAATCAGGCAGTGGTGGCGCACACCCTTAATCCCAGCACTTGGAAGGCAGAGGCAGGTAGATTTCTGAGTTCAAGGCCAGCCTGGTCTACAGAGTGAGTTCCAGGACAGCCAGGGCTATACAGAGAAACCCTGTCTCGGAAAAAAAAAAAAAAAATCAGGAAACTGTGTATGGTGGTACACGACTTTAGTCCCAGTATTCGGGACACAGAGACAGGCGGGTCCCTGAGTGTGAGGCCAGCAAGTTCAGGAGAACCAAGTTACACAGAGAACCCCCATCTCAGAAGAATAGGAAAAAGAAAACTCGGGGATCGTGGATTTGCTGGATCGCTAGATAAAAGGACACAAAACACTCTAAAAACATCTAGGGATACACTGAGGTGGTATGGCTTAGGGTTAAAGTGGCTGTTCAGACAGGCCCCTAGAACCCCATAGAAAAGGCATATGGGCGTGGCAGCTCCTCTGTGTTTCAAGAAGGTAGAGAGGCAAAACAGAACATATTAGTGAGCTCTGTTTGATTGGGAGATTGGCAGAAAGTGGGGCATGGTGGCCTTTGATCCCAGCACTCGGGAGGCAGAGGCAGGTGAATCTATTGAGTTCAAGGCCAGCCTGGTCTACAGAGAGTACCAGAACAGCCAGAGCTACACAGAGAAACCATGTCATGAAAAACTAAAAAGAAAAAAAAAATTAGAAGAGGGATCAAGAAAATTTTCCCGTATCAGCCTCCTGCTTACACATGAGTGTACAGATGTTACACACACACACACACACGCACACACGCACACACACACTCACTCCTTGGACACAGCTGGAGGGTCACCCCTAGATGAGATTGAACTTAGAATTGTTGAGATTTGTCCTTGAAGTATAATATTGCTTTTTTGTCTAGATCAGGAAGCTGATCCCTCGGAAAATTATATCTCGGGAATCAGGTGGGTGCCCAGGGAGCATAGGGAGGAGGGGCTGGTCTGTGGGCGATCCATCCATCAGGAATCAGGTGGGTGCCCGGGGAGCATAGGGAGGAGGGGCTGATCTATGGGCGATCCATCCATTGTTTCTAGTTGAACATAAACACTTGTAGTCCCCCACTGGTCCAGTACACCATAAGACCTTCCTCCCCTGGGAGAGGGTAGAGTCAAGGCCCTTGTAAGAACTGTGTGTATCTTGTGTGAGTCAGATGGTGTTCACATGCTGTATGTCTCTTGGGATTGTGACTGTTGCAGAGCCCCTTGGGGTATGCCTGTTGGTGTTAGTGGTGTTAAGGATCAAACCCAGAGCTTTGTACAAAGAAGGCAAGTGCTCTACCACTGAGCAATACTGCAGCTCTAGATATAAACTTTGAAGTCCCTAAAGATAAATTCTGGGGTGAAGAGATGGCTAGGCGAGGAAGCTGCTTGCTGGTGTTAGATTATTTAATCTGCAGAAAGATGGAAAGTGGAGAGAAAGAGATTATGCAGGACCACAAGTGTTTTTTTTATATAATTTATCTTTAGTTTTATATGCATTGGTGGTTTTGACTGTATGTATGTCTGTGTAAGGGTGTTGGGTCCCCTGGAACAGGGTTTACAGACAATTGTGAGCTGGCATTGCTAGGAATTGAACCCAGATCCTCTGGAAGAGTAGCCAGTGCTCAACCAGTGAGCCATTTCTCCAGCCCCCAGGGCCATGTTTATCCACAGCAAGGGTCTTTGTCAGAGGAGGTAGTCTGGGTCCACTAGTAAGAGGGGTGTCCTCTGGTCTTGTAGCAGCAGGAGAATCTTAACCTGATTGTCTGCTTTGATGAATCGGGCAGTTGCCATCCTGTATTTCTGAAGAGACTTGGAAAATGGTTCTTAGAGAGCCAGAAGCAGACCATTTGGTTACAGAGTGGAACTGAGAGATTTTCTGGGAACTTTGAGGAAGGGAGGAGTTGAGGTGGGAGAGACAGAGTCTCAGAGATAAAAGTGGGTATGGAATGGATTCAGAGTGACAGGGACTGGTCCCATTGCCAGGACTGCTTCACCCAGATGAGCCCTCACAAGTAGAAAGGAGCTTCAGAGCATCAGGGGAAGGGAACAGGAGAAAAATGGCAAGAACTGTATCTGGCCTGAGGTGAAAGGGGTGAAGGTTCCCTTTGGCCAGAGTCTCTGCACAGCTTTTTCAGATGCTGTATTTTTTTTTATTTATTTATTTATTTTGTAGCTGTATTGGGGACAGATGGAGCTCTTTGGAGAGCTCACTTAGAACATCTTGTTTGGGCATAGGGTGAAAGTAAGGATGAAAATAACGAGGAAAGAGTAAGTCAAGGGGAGGGCAGGAGATCAGAAGCCCACACACAGAAGGAGGCTTGTGGTTGAATTTTTCCTGGTCCCTTCCTCTGGGTTCCATCTTATACCAGTTAGGGTTTGCTGGTATGGACGCAGCATCCTTGTGGGAGGAGGGAGGGCACAGATGTCAATGCAGCAGCCAGGGAGCTGAAGCTGAGCGGAACACCCTCAGAGGCTCTTTGCAGAGATGTTGATCTGTTAACTGATGCCTACAAGGCTGTCCAGCTGTTTCAGTTCTAGGCCCAAAACAATGTCCAGTCCCCTTTTAGAGGTCACCCAAATAGCATATAGGAGTTTGGGAGTCGCCCTTCGTTACTGGTTCAAGGGTGACAGAAGGGTGAGCAGCAGTTAGATTGCCTCAGAAGAGGGTTTATCCAAGGGGTCATGGTAAAACTTAACAGTTGGCAAAGATCTAGAACACAGGAGATAATAGCTGTTCACCTTTGTGGGGAACATTAAGAGATAAAGTTACATGAGGAAAACTTTTTGGTAGGTTTATCTATTTTTATTTTATGTGTATGAATGTTTTACCTCATGTATGTCTGTGAACCATATGTGTACCTGGTCACTTTGGTGGCCAAAAAGGGTATTGGATCCACTGGAACTGGAGTTACAGATAGCTTAAGACATCATGTGGGTGCTGGGACCCAAACCTAGGTCCTCTCCAAGAACATTATGTGCTTTTTACATCAATACGGAACTTGAGTTATGTAACTGTACAACTGGCTGGACCACGCACTAGAGCTCTGTAGAACCTGATAAGGCCACTGCAGTTAGTTGGATGTTTGTTATATCAGACTCCAGGATAAAGAACAAGCACCTAGAAGCTTTGTAAAAGATGTCAAAGTCTGTATCCAAGGAATAAATCTGAACAGACTATCTACTTGATATTCTTTCCTTCCACATATAATAAACTTTGTATATTTGTTTCAAATATTAGCAATACAAAGCTGTTGTTAAAACCAAAGTACGTCGAGTAAAATACAATTCTTGGATAGAAAAAAATTAATAAGATAAGATTTTATAAGTTGGGACAATTATCCTAAATGACCATATCTAGTATTTGAAAACATGACTCAATACTTACTTTTGTTTACACTAAATATATGTCTGTGTGTGTGCCACATGCATGCAGTGTCCACAGAGGACATGGGGGCAGCAGATCCCCTGCTACTGGAGTTACAGATGGTTGTAAGCCACTGTGTGGGTGCCAGAAACTGTACTTGGTCCTGCGGAAGAACAGCCAGTGCTTTGAACCATCATGCTCTACAGCCCTGCATGTTCAGTGTTGAACCTGACTGTAGCCAGAAAACAGAGAAGCAATAGGAATGTTCAACTTTTTTTTCCCTCTGGAGACAGGATTTCTTTATGTAGACCTGGCTGTCCTGGAACTCAATTTGTAGACCAGGACGGCCTTGAACTCACAGAGATCTAATCACTGCCTCCCAAGGGCTGGGATTAAAGGTGTGTGCCATTACCACCTGGCTGAGGATCTTTGCACATACCCAGCAAGTGCTCTGACAGAGCTACAGCCCTAGTCTTTGAATCTCTGAAACAGGGTCTCACTTACATTGGCCAGGCTAGCCTTGAACTCATGGTCTTCCTGCTTGCCCGCAGCAGTGCATGAAGACCTTAGGTTCTGCACAATCACCCCTGTACTTGTTAATGGCTTTATTAGAACCGTCCAGGCAGATAGGAGGGCATCTTGTGGTTTTGCTTTGTGGTCATTTGAAGCTTAGGTTGTCAGGAAGCTTTGTATGTGTTTACTGGCTCTGTGGACACTCTCCAGTTGGGCTGAGTTCTTTACTACTGAGTTACAGGAGTTTTTTATATTCCAGATGAGAGGCTAGTTGGAGCTATAGCCATGTGATAGAGCCCTTGCCTAGCAATCATGAGGCAGGCCTTAGCTTCAACCCCCAGTACACCAAAGATGGTGATGGTGATGATGATGATGATGTGGTGGTGGTGGTGATGGTGATAAATAGATCTATCATCTTGTAAACCTTTTTCCTATCCAGTGAAATGTCTTCATTTCATTGCCATTCTTTTTCTGAGACGAGATCTCACTGTGAAGCCCTGGCTGTCCTGTAACTGTCCTGCTCTGTAGATCAGGCTGGCCTCTTCCTCCCAGCGTGCTAGGATTAAAGGCATGTGGCATGTTCACCACCTGGCTTCCTTTTTTTTTTTTTTAAATGTATGTATTGTGTCTGCCTGTAAGTCTATGCAGCACATGTATGCAGTGCCTCTGGAGGCCACAAGAGGGCATCAGATCCCCTGGAACTGGAGTTACAGGTGCTTATGAGCCACTATGTAGATGCTGGGAATTGAAGCTTTGACCTCTGGCAGAGCAGCTGCTGCTAGTGCTCGTAACTGCTGAGCCATCTCTCCAGCCCCCAGGCATCCTTTGTTAAAGTTGTCCTTTGATGTTTGTGTTTCAGTGAAGTGTACCATTTATCTACTCTTGGCTTGGTTGTGTTTGGGGCGTCACATAAGCGAGCTGCCTTCACTGCTGTGAAGTTGCTGTTTCTCATGACTGCCAAACCCACACTCCACCCCAACCCTGCACTGCTTATCCATTCTGTGGACCAAGCCAGGGGAAGGGATGAACCCAGAGGGAGGAACATTATCAAGCACAGACTCTTCTCCAATTGCCGATGCCCTGGATGGTGTCTGAAACACAGATATGTTCATCTTGTCTTTTCCTCTTAGCTGTCTTTCCAGGAGAGGACTTAGGCACTACTTCACTGAGAACACTGGTTGGATTGTCTTGTCTGCCGTCCCCTCCCTAACCTCCCCTCCATCCCCACCAGCCTTCTTGCTCCCTGACTTCTCATTCAGTAATTTTCTCTCTAGTTTCTAGTTGTGTTTAGTCTGCTGTTTAACGTGTATGTGTAAATCTGTCTATACACATGCAGGTCGTGGGCTTGCACTGTGTATCTTTCCAGGAATGCTGTCTTCTTCTTCTCCTCTTCCTCCTCCTCCTCCTCCTCCTCCTCCTCCTCCTCCTCCTCCTTCTTCTTTGGTTTTTTCAAGACAGGTTTTTTTCTGTGTAGCCCTGGCTGTCCTGGAACTCACTCTGTAGACCAGGCTAGCCTCGAACTCTCGAACTCAGAAATCCGCCTGCCTCTCCCTTCCGAATGCTATCTTCTGTAGTCAGGTTTTTTTGTTTGCTTTGCTTAGATGACTCTTCCTGACAACCCCTTTGTTGCTTGTACATCCTTTACCTGGTGATCTCAATGTGAGTGTTGAGCTGGCCTGCTGACTCTGCTCATGGTGAGCTGCCTTTATGTGTGTTTTCTTCCTTTATGAGCTTATGACTTGATCTTAGCTGTGGGTGCCTTGTAGGCCCTAGGAAAGAAAGACTTCCAGTAGGATTTAATTTCGTTTCTGCCAGCAGCCAGAGGACACTAACTCCTCCCCCACTCCCCAAAGCCCTCCCTACCCTCCCAGCCACCTGGCTATCCCAAGGAAAGGTGACACAGGGTGACTGAGCTTCCAGCCTGTTAAGCTCAGGGAGCAGAGCCTGGGACCCTGCTCGACATCACTCCAAGCTCAAGGAGCCAGAGCAGACTTACCCACTTGTGCTGGGTCTTGATTGTTAATTGACATAGAAAGACCCAGTGCATTATGGGTGACGCTGTTCCTCAGCAAGGGAGCCCAGACCAGCATAAGAATACAGAGCTGGCGTCACAGCAAGGGAAGGATCTGTGTGTTTATTTTCTCTCTGCTCTGGTCTGCGGATTTGACATTTCCTGCTTTAACTTCCTTGCAGTAATAAACTGTAACTTGGAGTGGGAAACTGAACAAGCCCTCCCCCCAACCCCACCCGGGTTTGTGTTCTTTATCAAGGCATGTGTCACAGGGACAGAAACGAAAGCAGGATGTCACTTTCTGGCCTCTGTTCTCTATTTGTGGACTTTTTTATTTTTCATGACAGGGTCTCAATACAGCTCTGGCTGTCCTGGAACTCGCTTTGTAGACCAGGCTGGCCTCGGCCTCAGAGATCCCCCTGCCTCTGCCTCCCCAGTGCTGGGATTAAAGGTGTGGACCCAACTCTATTTGTGCATGTCTACTGCCTCTTTTTTAATTGCTTAAATTATTTTATGTGTACAGATGTTTTCTTTGCATGTATATCTTTGTACCATGTTTGTGTCTGGTATGTACGTGAGCCCAGAAGAGGGTGTTGGATCCCTTAGAAGTGGAATTACAGACAGTGCGGGTTGTTGTGTGGGTACTAGGAATCAAACCCAGATCCTCTGGAAGAGCACCCAGTGCTCTTAACTCCTGAGCCGTGTCTCCAGAGCCTCTCCTAGCCTCTTTTAAATCCCATAGTGTTGGGAAACAATCCTAAGGAGTATATGAATTGTTGTCTAGTGGGCGGGCTGTACAGAGCCTTTAGCCAAATACACAGCAGAATTCAGGGTTAACTCTATTGAGTTGTGCGTGCCAGGAAGCTGGGCATATAAGTATTGAGTCACTCAGGCCTCAACATAGTTCTACAAGGCACATAGTGTTTCCATGTCTCGGAGACGAGGACACCATGGTGCAGGGTTCACCTGCCCAGGTTCTTACACCATTAGCAAGAGACGAAGCTAGCAATCAAAGCCTGGACTTACTAGAGCATGCTGTCAAAGGACTTATGTCAGTGTGTGAGCACGTATTGGAATGACTTTGTCTGCTGAGGTGAACACCACTGTGTGTGTGGCTGTCTTCAGAGTTCTCTCCAGTATCATTGTCACCTTTATGTGGCCTGCTATGACCATTTTGTTTGGGATTTTTTGAATACTTATTTTGAAACAAGGTGTTACAACATACTCAGGCTGGCCTTGAACTCCCAACATTCTAACAACCTCTACCTCCAGGGACTGGGATTACTGGCATGCGCCATGGCATCCAGATTACCTCATTTAAGATTGTATACTATAGGGGGCTGGAGAGATGGCTCAGCGGTTAAGAGCACTGACTGCTCTTCCAGAAGACCTGAGTTCAATTCCCAGCAACCACATGATGGCTCACAACCATCTGTAAGGAGATCTGATGCCCTCTTCTGGTGTGTCTGAAGACAGCTATAGTGTATCCATATACATAAAATAAATAAATTTAAAAAAAAAAAAAAAGATTGTATACTATAAGGCTGATAAAGTGGCTTACCAAGCTTGACGACCTTGACTCTGATTTCTGGTACTCACATGGCAGGAGAGAAAGGACTTCCCCAAGTTGTCCTCTGCCCTATACACCTAGGCAAATAAATTCCCATGTATGCTCATCAGCATACACATGGATATTTAGTACATTACTTTAAAATTAAAAATTGCTGAGTGGTAGTGTACACTTTTTTTAATCCCAGCATTCAGGAGGCAGAAGCAGGTGGATCTCAGAGTTGAGACCAGCCTGGTCTACACAGAGAGAACTTGTGGTAATGCATGCTTTTGATCCCAGCACTCAGGAGGCAGAGGCAGGTGGATCCTTTGTGAGTTCGAGGCCAGCCTGGTCTACAGAGTGAGTTCCAGGATAGCCAGGACTACAAAGAAACCCTGTTTTAAAAAGGAAAAAAAAACTACCGTTGTTGGCTGTGGTGGCTACACCTGTATTCACAGCCTATGTAGGGACCAGGAAGGTCACCTGAGCCCAACCTGGTAACTATAATGAGACCCTGTTTCAGAGCATGTGTGTGTGTGTATGCATGTATGTATGTATGTGTGTATATATACATATATATGTATACATATATACACACACGTGTATGTATGTATGTATGTATGTATGTATGTATGTGAGTGTGGTACACACACCTTTAATCCCAGCACTTGGGAAGCACAGGGAGATGGATCTCTGTGACTTTGCCAGCCTCATCTACAAAATGAGTTATAGGACAGCCAGGGCAACGTAGAGAGACCTTGTGTGGGGGAGTGGGAAGCTAAAAACCAACCACTCCTATACACATATGCATGTGTGCACACACGCACATTTTCTTGGTGTATTTTGTGTGACACTGGTACCCAGAGGCTTTGGATCACCCTGGAGCTAGAGTTTGTTGGTTATGAGATGCTCCTCCCCTCATGGGTGCTGGAAACTGAACTTGAGTCCTCTGCAAGAGTAGTACATGGAGCTCAGTGGCTAACCCACTGTGGTTAGCTGCCATGGGGGTGCTGAGAATTGAACCCAGGTCCTCTAGAATTGTAAGTGGTACCCCTAGCCCCTGCGCCATCTACCTAGCTCTCTTGCTGAATTTTTTAGAAGTACAATGTAAAGATTGAAAAAAATGAGTTGAAGTTCTTCCTGGTCTTCTGCCTGTAAAGTTGGACATGAGAACAATAGAACTGGGGAAGAAGGCTCAGGGCCTGGGGCTGGGAGGCTGACACCTGCATCTGGATGCCAAGCTGTAGGTGCTGGTGGCTCTCCAGGAGGAGCTTGGTTTTTGTTTTTGAGACTCTCTGTCATCTAGTCATACTTTGAAATGACAGGCGAAGGGGCAGCTGGACATGCCTGAGGCCTCAGTGACAGTGGCGGAGGCTGGACTGAGGTCGCAGTGGTGACAGTGGCGGAGGCTGGGCATCCTTCGTTTATAGTGATTAAACTTAAGACTGGGGGAGATCATTTAAAAGGCGTGAGACAGCAACAGAGGCTGAAGTGAGATCAGAAAGGGGGACATTAAGGCTGGGTGTAGTGCTGCACCTCTCTATTCCCAGCACTCAGGAGACAGAGGCAGGTGGATCTCTGTGTATTTTGAGGCCACCCTGGTCTACAGAGTGAGTTCCAGGACAGCAGAGCTACAATGTGAGATACCGTCTTGGGGGCAAAAAGCTATGTTGCAGATGTGGGGGGGGGGGTGACTGTTGGTGGTCCATAAAGAAATAAGGACTGAACCATAGAACTCTTTATGGGTACCAAGCTGGGAACGGGTCTTCAAACATTGAATCAAAGCTGTCAGCAGAGAGTGCTCTCTTCCACACACACAGCCCCTCCTGCTGCCTGCTGTGTTCGGATGGGGTGCTCCACAGTTCCCTAAGGGTGATCTCCCAAAGTCAGGTAGAATGCATCACCTGTTGAGTCTTCTGTGCACAGCACAGGACACACACAGCCACAGACCCAGGCAGATAGACACTACTCATCTTTCTTTTCCCAGCTCCTATTAAGGAAACAAAGAAACTGATGCCTAAATCATCTCTACCCACTGTAAAGAAGCCGACAGCAACGACCTCTGCACCTGGCAGGGCCAAGTAAGGAGGATGGGGAGGGCGTGAGGCTGGAGGAGGTGCAGAGGAGACGCTCCTCCTGCCCGCCTCACATGTCGCTCCTGTGTTCCAGGATACCTTCAACACCCACTGGAGACAGCCAGAAACGCCCCTCCCGAAACTCTGGTAAGGGTGTCCTTCCTACAGTGGAAGACAGGGTGGCTGTGTTGAGGGATAGAGATGAACATGGTCCCTGAAGCCCTACTCTCATAGGCTTCAATGGCAGCTGCCTCACTGGGGGGCCCAGGCAGCCTGGGAGAAGGGGATCCAGAACCCAGGCTTCCCAACAGCATTCTGCATCCAGTCAGGTGAGGGGCCAGACACGTGGGAGAGGACATTACTGGGAGGAGACGGTTCCCACAGGGGGGTCATGGAAGGGTGAAAGATCCCAAGGAAACATGGAAGCTCCTCTAAGGTACCTAGCTTCCAACTGAGACCACATCTCACCATTACCACAGGAGGATGAACAGAAAAGCCCAGGAAAGGGTCCCTCCAGGAATAAAACCCCCACTCCAGAGAAGACTCGGCTTCCAGATAAAGCCCTTGACCAAGAGAAGATCCCGGCTCCTGACAAAGTCTCCACTCCAAAGAACCCTGTTCCAGAGAAAGCCCCGGATTCTGACAGAATTCCCACTCCAGAGAATACCACTCTGGACAAGGCTGCCACTCCAGAGAGCACCCTTTCTGGGGATGAGGCAGCTAAGGATGATGCCTGTGACCTGAAGATGGCCCCTCATGAGGACAGTGCCCCTGCATTAGTAAAGATCTTGACCCCAGAGCACATGATTTTTAAAGAGGAGCCTTCAAGAGACAACACTCAATGCCAGCACTTCTCTCAGGAAGAAACCACACAGAGGTCTGAGTCTCCTGCATCCTCAAATGACATCCAGGTACCAGGAGAGTACTCCCCACAGCCTAACTCCTCAGAGAGGTCCTGCTGTCACGTGAAACAGGTGAACAGCTCCCCAGCGCAGTCCAAGGCTGAGGATCTGTCTGGTGTGGAGGAGGCCAATGTTTTAGAGGAGCCACTAGCCAAAGATGAGACAACCCTACACAAGGCACCCCCCAAAAAGCTGCCTTCTGAAGAGGTGGGTCCCCAAAAGCAGGTGCCTCCTCCTAAAGAGTCAATCCCCACTCCCCAAGTGCCACATACTATCAAGCAGATTCCAGACCCTGAAGAAGCTCCCACACTTCATCCCTTGGCCCCACTAACCTCTCTCAAAAGCCAGAACTACAGCATGGATGTGTTAGAGTCGTTAAAGGAGGAGGTGGGGTCGCTAAGGAGCAGGCTGGAGCTTCTGGAGTTGAAGCTGGAGTAAGTGGGCAGTAATGCGTTGTGGTGGGGCGGGAGGAGGGAAGGGTCCAGCGGTTCACCTGAACCCCGTATACACAGACAGAAGATGGGGGACGTCTGGGAGGAGATGAAGACTGAGAAGCTCCAGTCGCCGGAGGTGGGTGGAATGGGGACACAGGAGGGAGGAGGGAAGTAGTTGGTGGCTCTGGTCCACGATAACCCTCTCCCAACTAGGTTCAGATGATGCAGAGGAACCAGAAATCCTTCAAACACGCACAGACACAGACGGAAACACAGACGAAATGAGAGCAGGTTCAGGCCGAACCTCAACCCAACCTGGAGAGACATCTATCCTGCTTGGGCCACCCCGGTCCTTGCACACAACTTTGAGAAACTCCATGGAAGTAAAAAACGCTGAACTCTCAGACCAGCCTGGTCCTTGTGGGGTGGGGCCAGCCAGCACACCGCCTTCTGCATTCCTGGCGGTCTCTCTTGGGCACATCTGGCCAACATGTGGCTCCCATTACCATTCTCAAGGCCTGTGCAAGGCTATTTTTATCCACCGGATGGTTGGGGGCAGGGGTAGTCTCCTTCAGACGCCAGCCCTATGCTAGAGGCAGGGTGGAGGGGCCTGAACTCTGGGCTGGATTCAGGAACCCAGCTGTGTGCTAAAGGGGTGGAGCCAGCCTTCTCTGGGCCCAGCTCCTCCCAATTAGCCTCTGCCCAAAAGGGACTCCAGTCTCCACTCACTTGGAATCATTTTTGGCCTAGAAGCATCCGCTCAGTCATTAAGTCTAGAATTTGCATCAAGGTTGGAGCCTTAGGCCTCCCTGTGATTCCAATGATGACACCCCAGGGCAGGTCATAGGGCAGGTGACATTTGGACCCTATTTGTGAGGAATGCTCATAATACCCGCCCTGTGTGCGAGAGGCGCGTCTCGGTATGTTTCTTTGATCTGTGAAGTGAGCACAAGCCTGCACTGAGTGGACCCCCAGAGGGGATACAACCCGGTGCAAAAGGAATGAGTTACTCCCCTGCCCGGCTGGAGCCTGGGGGCCTGCTGAAAGCAGTAGTAACCAGTGAGAGACTGAGTCGCTGAGACTACCTTTCATTGGTCATTATTATCAGGAGAAGGTGGGAGCTGGCATTCTTTTCCCACCCACACCTGCCCTATGTAGAGTGCTTAGCAGGCGGCGATCCAACGCCCAATAGCACCAAGAGAGTTGGGGCAGAGTCAGTTTGAAGGCCCTGAGGCAGTCCCATATCCAGTATTCTGGCTCACGCTGCGGGGTCGGGTGTCAGTAATAGTGCATTCGTCCCAGCGTGGCCGAGGCTCCGGGTCCCAGTGTGCCGCTGCCCAGCAGGTCTGGCTGTCCAGTGCGCCAGATCTCCCTCAAGATTCGTTCACGCTCCTCCAGCCGCTGTGCCCGCTCTAGCTCCTCTGCTGACGTGAAGACATTGACGTTAAGGGGACCGTCGGGTTCTGTGGACAGCTCCTGGCCCTGCAGCGTGTCATCGGGACCCAGCCTCGTCATGGTGTCCTCATCCTCGTCGTCGTCCTCGTCTTCCGGCTCTAGGGTGCTGTTACGAGGGTCCCGGCGCGGAGCAGGGGTCCGGGGCCGCGAGCGAGGCGCGCAAGAGATGCTGATGACCAGCAGGCATAGGGTCAGCAGCAGGCCGAAGCAGACTCCAAGCACGAAGTAGAGGCCGAAGCTCTCGGGGTTAGCTAGGGAGCAGGGAGCGGAGGTCACAGGGGGCCCTGACAGGCTGGAGTCGTCCCATCTGGGAGAGATCAAGGGTCTATAGCTAGGCTTGGGGCAAGGAACGGAAAGGCAGCAAGGACTGAGGGTGAGCATCAGGGAGTGGAGGGCTGCCTGGGTAATGATGGACGGCCTCCGTGTCCCCAGGTCTGGCCCTCACCTCGGATGTGCGCATAGGCTGCCAGGCTGTTGCTGAGTAGCTCCATGTCTCTTCTTGGGGCATCCATTGCTGCTGGGGCGCACCTCGCCTGTCAGCCTGTGAGGTCACCCAAGTCAGGTCCTCCAGAGCTCAAGGCGCTCGCTCCTCGCGTAGCTCCTCCACCCTGCGGGGAGCGGTTCGTCTCACTGGATCCCAGATCTGGACTCTGCTAGTTCTTGTTGTCCCGCAGACGCTCCTCCATCCCCGGGAGCGGGGGAGAGACCGCACACGCTCCGCCCCCTCGTGCGGTCCCCAGGCGAGGCCCGAGCACGGAAGGGCGAGGCGGTGCCTCGGGTTCCCTTTCCACCTCCCTGCTGTACCCCTCCACCCGCGGGGCCTCGGCCCGGCTCGCTCACCCGTCAGCGTCCCGTAGCCCTGGCCCCGGCAGTGGCGTCTCCGCGGTGACCGCATACACCCGGGTCAGCCGCCCCGTCCGCCTTACCGGGTTCGCACAGTGGTGCGGCCGGACACCGCGACGGAGCAGCCGGCGGAAAGTTTCCTCCGAGGAAAGAGGAGGGACGGGGCGGGGCGGAGAGGCGGGAGGAAGAGCGCCTGGAGGAAGGGGAGAGGGGGCGGCCCCTGCTCCCCTACAGGAAGCCGCTGGGGAGGCCGCTCACAGGGGCCGCCCCCGCCAGTACTAACATCAACATGATTTGTTACTAAACATCCCTAAGGCCTGGGGCTCCTGGCGGGAGGTTACCTCCCCTCACTCTCCCTGAAGAGGTTCCTTCATTTAAGCCTGCCAACCATGGAATGTGGCTACTATTAAATCTCCAATTTGCAAATGAAGTAGACCTCGAAGAGCTTTGCCACAGGGTCAGGATTTGAACCCACAACTCTCTGTCTCTAGCGCGCAGGCTCCGAACTATTTTCCTGTGCCTGGCTCTTCCCATAAAGGGGCGTGTCCAAACCCGTTCATCCCTCCAGCCCTTCCTAGACCCAGTGGAGGCAGCCGGCACCCCTGCGTCCTTACTGGTTTTCTTCGGAGAAAGGAGCTCTTCAGCCCCTCCTCCCAGTGCCCTGGCTGAGTGTGTCCAGCTGCTGTGGTCACGCAAGGTTAATGATTGTTGGACTCGGCGGTGAGCCAGGTCCCAGCATATTGCAGACCCCAGAGGGAGCCTCTGCCCTAGAGAACATCCTAGCTGCTTTGCCCGCTGGACCTGCCCAGAGTCACACGTGTGCGTCACCTGGGCTCAAGGCTTGGACAGAAGCGCACTGGGGGGATGGGGGGGATCTGCAGCTGGCCTCTTCTTTCTGCCTGGTCTCCTGGCCAACCCCCTTCCCCTCCCTACGCTGGAGCTGGAGTGAGGGGGAGGCCTTCTTGGCGGGAATCTTGGGAAGGAGGAGGGAAAAGAATGGCGAGAGGAAATTGCAAGCATAGCTGTAGGCGCTGCCTGAAGCCTGAAGGCCATTAACCCCTTCCCTGTTCAAGCTGCAGACCCTGACTCCCCCAAGCCAACCTGGGTTCAAGTAGGGGTCAAGAGGAGATGGGAGAAAGGACCAGACTGGCTCAATCCTGGGTATATTTGTGACTGTTGAGTCTGCTTTGTGAGCATGTGTTGGCCCATGTGTACTTACCTGTTTGTATGTAATGCTGCTTCAGCATTTTAGTGTTGGCTGAGTACAGCCCCCAGCCAGTGGATGCCTGGCCCTTCTAAAAATGGAATTGCAGAGGTCAGAGGTTACAAGCCCTCAGGAGGCAGGCATCTTCAAGGGTCTGTGAGGTGCCATGAAGGTGGTGGGAGGGATCAGTGTGATGGGGAACATCTTGGGTAGCTCTCCCAGGGACACCCCAGGTAAGAGCTGAGTCCTAAGGAGGGGGCAGCCATGCCAAGGTTCCGGGAGCGGAGCGCGTCTAAGGCAGGATCAAGGGGTAGTGGCATGAGTGGAGTTTCTGGTTTGCAGAGACCAGAGCTAGCTTGAGACGTTCGAGGGGAAAGTAATTGGTTGGAGACCACACAGATTTTGCAGATCACTAAGGAGCTTGGATTTGATTGGAAGTGAATTGATAAACCCCAGGAGGCTTAAGTAAGAGAATGTCATTACCCACTCCACACGCTGGAAAGACTCCTGAAGTGGCTCAAGATAGTCGTGGCCACAGCAGGGTAAGAACGGAAGCAGAGAGAGCAGGAGACAGTGTTGCAGATAGTCAGGAAAGTAGTGGTCTGTGGTGGAGAAGGAAGAAGAGGAGGAGGAGGGCGGCAGCACTGGTCGCCTGAAGGGAGTTTCTGTTGTAGAGGTGGTTTTGAGTGAGGATGAATTTAGCCTTGATCTTAGGCCTGTGCAACTGGGGGAAGTCTTTGGGGGTAGCGCCTGCCCCCACCCCAGGTGAGAGGACAGGGAATACGAGTTAGATTTTTAGATACGTGAGATTTCAGGTTCATAATATCCACTAGATACCTGGGTGTGGACGTTAGAGAGAGGCCGGTGGAGCCCCAGCCTACCATTTCCAGGCAGGAAAGACAAGATGCATCCTGGAAACTGGTAGGTCACCCAGTTCCAGAGAACAGGGAGAAGAGAGTCTGTCTAAAGCCTCAGCTGCCCTGAACACTGACAGTGGGACGTCTCCTGGAAGAGGAATTCTCAACAGCAGACCAGCAAGCTGGGAGGAAAACCAGGCAGGAGCAAGGATGTGACCCTTTGGGTTATAGCAGGTGGAGAGGTAAAGATAGGATCAGAGTCAATACCCATGCAGGGTCAATATTTCAATATTGTCAGTGATGCCTGCGGATGACATTGGCCCAGCCCCGTTTCCCCAAGTCATGTGTGACTGGTACATACACAACAACTAGTGACTTGGACACATACAGAATAGCCAGTCCTTGGAATGTGTTGACAAACGTGGCCTGCCAACCACTTAAAGATTGGTGTGTGCTGCAGCTTAGCTTGTACAGCCGTACGTAATCAGACTACCTTTGTGTGGCACACACCTGTTCTCTGTGATGGTCCACATGAATATGGTGTGAGGTCTGAGATGGGTTTCCGAAAAGCAGTCTGCACCACTGTGCCTAACAGATGTCTGTGTCCACATCTGGATTAGATGTAACTCATCCTTGGGGAAACAGAGGCTGAAACAAAGGGAGTACTGAGATGTCAGTGGACCCTGCAGACGGATGTGCCTTAATGGAGTGCTACCTTCTTCAGCCGGGTGCTTGTGGTTAAGCATGAGAAGTACCTTTGTGGCCCTGATGACTCAGAAGCAGAGAGCTCTTCAGAGTACTGGGGAAGGTACCTAAAGCCTTCAGCTGAGATGTCTGTCCACAGTGGCCAGCTGCCTGCCCCTGTCAGCCATAATTCTGTCTGGTCTCGTATTTCTCGCTGGTGGCTGGAATCTCGTCCATCAATCTGCCCATCCACTTGCAGGTCTCTGCTTGTTTGACCAGGGCTCCTCTACTTGCCCGGCCACTAGTCCTTTGGCTGGCCCATCTGCCCTCCTCTCTGTGATATCTGTGAGATCAGGGATTG